TTCCTTTTTTTTTTTTTTTTTTTTTGTATTTCACCACGAGGGACTCGCCGTTTTCCAACACCTCGACCACACCCAGTACTTCACCCCAGTATCAGCTGGCAATGACCGAGCCAGTCATGTTCTCAGATTCCGCCATACACTCGTTATGCGAAAAGATGGCTGCAGAATTGAGAACTTCCAATGCCAACACTGAGGCTGCGCCATCGGGATTAACGACTGTCGACATTGACCCTGAAGGTGATCTCCTAATAGACGCAAATTCTTGCAGGTTTCGCGTCTGCTCCAATGCCCTTCGTCGACAGTCGCCAGTCTGGCAACAGATGTTGTTTGGTCCGTGGAAGGAAGCCAAACCCACGGACGGATCCGCATGGATTGTCGAGTTTCCCGATGACCCTGCCTACCCATTGCGCATCATCCTTTTCATCATACACGGAAAATTCGAACTTGTCCCGCCTCATCCACTTGTCATCAGTATCTACAATATTTTGATCTTAGCTCAGAAGTACGACATGATCGGCATTGCGAGGCCATGGTGTTCACAGTGGCTAAAAGCCGCTAGCGAATTCAACCTTCCAGCGGCAGATGTGGTTAGGTCCTTGTACATCGCATGGGAATTAGGCGATGAACACCTCTTCGCTTTGAGACTTGAAGAGATCTCCGTACAGGCTCGAATCGACTCAGAGTACCGCTTAGTATATGGCGAAGATATTATCCTTGAAGATGAAATTCATCTTGGCCCGTACGATGTACTGGGTAAGTTAATATGGGTTGTTATCACATGATGAACGATAAATCCCAACTAATTATCGGGCAGAGACTATTTTCGATATACGTATGGCTTTGCTTGAAAAGTTGATTGCACCAATCCACGACACTCTGGAAGCTCGAATAAAGGAAGTACCGTTTTGTACTTATGGCGGTGGTTATAACGGCAGCCCTAGCAGTGTCTGTGATGCCGCAGTTATAGGCTGTATCTATCGCGGGATGTTACAAACCATGGGGGGAATACCTCCAAGATCTACCCCTGACACCAAGGATAGTGTTGCAGAGCTGGCGTCTTCTCTGTTTTCCACCATGGCACAAGTCTCTACAACGCATCCAGGATTAACGGAATGCTCTCCTCGACTCGTGTTTCGAGACCTTAACAAGATTATCCACGATGATATTCCAGCTGTTGTAACTGGCTTCATGAGACCAAATTACCAAGAATACATGGAGAAGCAGCGACTGAAGACGGGACTGGTGCTAGCATTATGGCAAGCTAGAAACACGATTCGATACTTGAAGGAAACATAACAATGTTCAGATATTAATGCCACGGGGGAAGGAGAAACACACGTACGCAAATTCAAACACTAGTACCGCCAATACATTGGCTGAGGAATTAATTGATGTCGCGTACTCTATTCCTGAGGTCAAGAGCTGTCGTTTCAAACAGCACTCGTCAAACCCGCAAGTAGAATCAACTTGTTCCAGGAGCAAGTGGCACCGTGAAGCGATGCACGATATCGCGGCCCCAGTATATTCATTCAGACCTTCTTAGGACCTAGTGGATTCTCATACCTCCAGTTTCTTATCATTTTTTCTAGGAAGAACACTCGCGGTGCAACCCACATCCAGAAGCACAGCCAGATTTCTTTGAAAAATGGGAGAATGCGAATAAAAATCACAGTACTGTCATCATCCGTGAAGAGTTCCATTCTCCTCTCACACTTGGCATTGCTGACATAACATAAACAACAGGCAGTTATAGACTGGAAAATATCTTCCTCCACCATGGCAATGGCCTCCCATCCGCCCCCCTCTCCACCTCCTTAGCCTCATCAAGATCCCGACGTCTGCCCGCCTGAAGATCAACCTCATGCGGCCGCCACAACCGTGTCTTGAACGTGAACTTGTACACAAAGTAAATCACAGGAAACAATGGCAGCAGGATGTAAGCATCCACAAAGTTGCCCGCGTCAAACGGAGCCAACGTCGACCAGCCCTGCACAAAAGCCAAGAAGACATTGGAAATCAGGCCAAAGTAGGCATTCCATGGGTACCACAAGGACTTATACGGCAGCTCGTCCGGGCTGTGTCCCTGCGCCTTCCACGCGGCGCGGAAGCGGATGTGAATCAGACTAATGGCGCCCCAGACCAAAAAGGTCGAGACACCACTCAGATTAATAATGTACCCGTACGCCTTGCTTGCGCCCGTGCTGACGTTCATCATCGAAAGGGCTCCGCACGCATTGGTGAAGATGATGGCGTAAACAGGAACGCCACGACGATCCGTCCAACCGAGGAACCTGGGTGCCTTTCCGTCCTGCGCCATGTACAAGAGGGTGCGGCTGCCGATGTAAATCGAGCTGTTGACGGCGCTCAAGCAGGTAACGAAGATGAAGGCGTTGATCAGGTGGGTGCCGTTTGCCCAGCCGGCGTTGTGGAGAGCGATGGTCATGGGCGACTTGAGGGCATGGCTGGCGCCGCCGGACAGGTCGGGGGCGTTCGACGGGCAGGTCAAACCGAAGAAGAAGGCGCAGCCCATGTAGACGACGACGATGCGGATGAAGACTTGGCGGATGGAGTGCGGGACGGCGACACCCGGGTTTTTGGTCTCGGTGGCGGCTACGGCGACGGATTCGACACCTGCGTAGAAGGTGGAGCAAAAGACGAAGACGGAGGCGACCCCACGGAAGCCATCGGCGAAGGGGCCGGGGTCGTGCCAGTACTTGAAGCCGATGGTGTCTGCGCCTTTGACGCCTCCGGAAACGTAACTATTCTGGGGTCAGTACAAGTCCGTAAACATGTTGGAGCGTCGCAAACTAACACGATGCTAAAGATGAAGTAGGCCACCAGGCCCATAAGCTTGATAAGCGCCAGCCAGAACTCGGCTTCACCGAACGTCTCGACACCGAGGAGTTGGAAGCCCAAAAATGCGAACTGTCTGCCATGTTAGCAACCACCCTAAACTCGGTCTCCTCATGATACGCCTGCTTGACAGAGATATAAAACTGACCCAAAATATCAAAAAGTACCCCCAAAGCGGAACCTTATCGCTCCAATCCACCATGACGCTCGAAATCACATTATACTCGTTCGCCAGGACACAAACCCAAACTAAACCACACAAAGTCAGCTAAAGTCAACAAATCGCACAGGGACAACTGAAACTGACTGATAAGATAATTCCACCCGACCGCCACACCAAACGCCTTATCAATAAACCTATCCCCAAGATCCGTAAACGCGCCTCCGCTGGGGTACAGCGTCGTCAGCTCGCCCAGACTCTGCATGATGGAAAAGGCAATGAGGCCAATGACTCCAAAGCCGATAAGCAGCGACGCAGGGCCGCCGGAATGTAGAGCACCGCCGGATCCGACGAGAAGACCGGGCCCGATGATGCCGGCCAGGGCCATCATGGATAAGTGTCGAGTCTTGAGACCGCGCTTGACGCCCGAGTGAGGGTCGATGGCGCGGAAGTCGCCGCCGTCGTCTTTGGAGGGGATGGCGGTTTCATGGTCGTCGAGAATGGTGGCGCTCCCTTTTTGGGAGAGCGACATTTTGGAATTTGGTTTTTCGGGGATATATCACCCCTCCGTGTCCGATGCTGCGTGCCGTTGTTGTGGTAGTGGTCGTCCTATGTCGGTATAAGGCGAGAATGTATCGTGGTATGGATACTGTTTTCACGCCTAGCGGTGGAGAAGATTGGACAGAGGGAGATATGACGATTTAATGATTGTCAATGTGGGAAAAGAAAGATGAGGTCAATCAACAGGGCCTTGTCCGGTTGTTGAACTCCCAGAGTGGCATTTCCCAAAGGGCAAAGCACGGCACTTGGAACAGGGGAAGTGAAGAGAGGTTGAAGACTGATGGGACAGCTCCCCAAAACAAAGTTTCCATGGACACACGACATACATAATGTGTCGGAAAACATGTCCGTGAATGGGGGAGGGTCGTACTGCTTACTGTAACTCTTTTTCTTATCAAGGAAACGTTGATCCGAAGTCGATGTCCCAAAAACGCTCCTTATCACGGGCGATCTGCACTCGCAGTCGCGGCACTTACACGGGTACCATCCACTCAGCTGGGACAACCCCGATCTCGCGTGTTTTAACGCAAAGAATGATACCAGATCTTTCTCTTGAGATCTTATTGCCAACCAAGCCAAGATAATGTTGCCGTTTGCGCTGTAGAAGGGATCTAGAATGAGACGGTGACACAAAGGCCCGAGGGGTGTCACCATTGACACCGAGAGCGAGTTGCGATAACCTTAACAACAAATCACGGAGCTATAGTGGAATATAGTTAGTGCACTACAACTTACACCACCCATGCCATGGATCGCGCCATCCATTGGCTTAAGCCGCTCTCTTAAAATCCACTGAAGCAATAAGCGAGCCTGCCAACAGTCAGCACCATTGATAGGTAGTGCCCGGACCGTACCTATTCCCGCGTCAACATGTATCGTGAGAAGTAGGGGTTTCTAAGAACGACTCGTAAGCAGAAACACACCCTCCTGGAAGCGCTGTCGAGGTGCTGATATCAAGCAAACGCTATCAGAGAGCGATCGCGGGGTGGCTGTTGCCTGCCCGTTTCGGTCATGTTATCGTTACATGCAGCGATAGACCCTAGCTGGAGCTAACCCGATCTCGTAGTGCGATACGAACGGATGCCCGCGACACGCGCAGTACCGCCGATAAATGTGATACACTATATCGGGTCAAGATCAGATAAAGAATATGCGATGCGATAGAGCTCGTACTTACGTAGCTCTCCTTCACTCCTTGTAGCTTGTTATTGAAGAGCCTGGTGTTGAGGGCCAAGCTCCAGAACAACACCATGGCGAAAGTGAAAGAGTAGACTACAGAACTTCAGTTCGACAGTGATTTCCAGTGTTTCTCTCCAGCTTTGGGATTTCGACTTTCGAGGTGCTCCATAGGGATCAGCAGTCTTCGTTACAAGTTGCAGAAAAGATAAGTCCCCCCGCTCCGCAAAGGCCACTCCACAGGGGCAACTCCGCATACTGTGGGCCAAACGGGACCGGGGCCGACCGCGGGCGGTAGCAACTCCGCATGCGGGGTACGGAGACGGAGCGGAGACCTCTTGTCGGCTGTTGAGCTCCGGGTGGTCGTTCTTTTGAGACTCTGTTCGATATAAAACCTCCAAGTTGAATAGTTGGTCGAGTTTATGGAGTTTTCAACAATTGGCGAAATTTGTGTAATGATGCAAGGTTTGTTATATTGTTTAGAGATAACTTGAAAACGGATTACGATGGGAGTTGCTGGCGTAATTGGTGGTTGTTCAAGAAGGTATTTGGCCTGCTGACATGGTCGACCATCTTACGCTAACTGCCTTGATTTCCAGAGGATGTTACTATAGCTGCCCAGCCAGTCCTCGGGTGGAAACTAACGCAAGTGGTCATTTTGATGCTCATCGCCAACAGAAAGTCATTACAAGATTTCTTGCTTCAAATTCCCATCTTCATCGTTGATGAGCTTGCATTTGGTTTGGATTAATATCGCCAGTTTCTCTTATCGACAATCCCATACAATCCTGAGAGGCCACCCATCTGGTTGGTGCTGCTGTAATCTTCAACAACATTGTCCGTCATCGGCGACGTCGTGATTGGTACAAAGTAGCCCTGCAGGTAGCATTCTTTGTCAATCCATTGACTTATACTCTGCAACGGTTGCCCCTCTCTGCTGATAGGGCTTTTCGTGACTTATGCACACCAACGACCCTGATAAAAGTGACGATCATCCTTAGCAGATTCGCTACATGGCAGTATATGGCTAACTCAGTTGGTGATACGGGACGGGAACTTCGATATTCACCCTACCTTACGTGCCCAGACTAACCTTGTTGCCATTACCATGAGAAGCAATTGACGGGCGAATGACAATATCCTATATACATACTTATCAAGTTCTGAGCTGTGTATCATCATCTGGACGAACTGGGACAAACTGAAGATTAATATCCAGCAAACCCACTTACCTACATAACTCTAGTCCACAATGACGACCAAAGACGAGGTGATTGAAACCGCCTCCATGTTCCCTTAATCCTGCAGTTCATTCTTCACCATGGTCTTCCCGAAGCTGCGCAGCGCAACCTATCGCCTCGCTTTCACGATACGCCCGTGAGTTGTGCCTGCCTCATTTCAAGGCTGGCGTGAAGGGTCCTCTTCCCAGCATCCTCTTCGTTTGCACGTACATATATACCAAAAGGTTCCGCGCGACCTCGAGACCGGGTTTTCCATCTGCATATGACGAACAGACCGGCCGACTACCCAGCTCTTCTTGCTCCTTAGAGACGGTGGAACCGGTCCCAGTTAGAGACAAGAGTGCCTGAGGGTAATATATGGAATTGGGGCCTATCACGTTATGCCGGTTGCCAAATTGCTGATTTTTTCTGTCTTCTAGTTTTACATGAAATTATAATTAAAGGAAAAAATTTCAATTTCTTTTTTTTTTTTTTTTTTTTTTTTTTTTGTGGTTGGCTGGTTTGCTTGGGAAACACCACATAGCTAAACCCATTCATCACTCTATAGAGAGGGAGACGCCCATATCTTTTTGGTCATCGGTCTCCCCCTTTCTTTTTTTGGGGGGACGGGCAATGTTTGTGAGTTTTCAAAAGATAGAGAGTGCCATATGTATAATCGGGACAAGTCTGGGTGTTTTGAGGTGGGGTCAGGAAGATTCACTGAAGTGGCGTCGGGAGTAAGCGTTAGTGATGCAATGGCCGCCGGCTGGAGCTCACAAGAGCAGAAAGGAGCCATCAAAGAACCGCCGGGGGAGTATAGCGGATATTGAGTATCTGTGGTACTTCAGAAAGCTGAAGAAACAACAGGAAGACTTCGGGGTATCGGTTGGCCATTGGAGAGGGTCGTACTCAAAGGGAGGGTATGAAGGTTTTGGGCGGATGAAGTAAAGGAAATCTTGGAGGTTGGAGTTGTTTGCAAATAATAGTTGACACTCGTGGATGGCCAGATGATGTGACGGGCGTTGCTGAGATAGTAGTACTTTGGCGCGTATTGGGTAGTTCGGGGATGCAAACTGCAATTCCACATCACCTACACCAGCTACCCGGTGCAAGTGAGATTGTACTACCGCATCATCTCATAACGTGCGTTGCCGCTTCGCAGTGACATTTGACGTCGTGTCTCGTACCGGCATCCTGTAGACATCGCGAATCCAATTGTCTGAACCGTCCAGTTTTCATGGACAAGTTGCCTCATATTCGCACCCATCAGCTCACACAGAGCCACCCCCACAACATCCCCTGTCTCAAGGGAGTAATTGTGTAGTAATGAAATTCAGGGGCTGACCTGAAGAACTTGGAAAAGTTGCTGGTTCGGCAGGATCTTCCTCATAGCTTCATGCACGAAATGCACGGTACCACGATGTCAACTTGCCTACGCTGTGGTGTATAACAGCTGAATGACCTGATAGTTGGTGTCTGCGTATAGTTGAGGCCGGGGAGGATAGAAATTAGCAGTCCAGACCATGCTGGGTCAGGCAAACGGGGTCGGCAAAACTTGGCTGTCAGTGAAACTGGAATCTCTGAGGAGGTTTGTGATTAACGAAGACTTCATCTTCTGGTCGACATGTAGTCAAGCCACTGACTATCATGATGTCGTTCGGGATAAGGCGTGATATCGTCGGGCTGGTTCTCTGGCCAGCAAATACTTCTTTCCCGAATCCCCCCACCCCCTTTCCTCTTTCTCATTCAGCGCGTCGCTATGGCTCGCCACTGCTGCTATTGTCTCCCCAAGTGAGATACCGGTACATATCGCATTCACATACTGACAGCAATGTGCTTCCGCATTCGGTCATCGCTCGTGTGAGTGGCTGAACATATCGAGATGGGAATCCAAGACAGACATTGAAGTGCTCTCCTTTCCGCTCCGTGTTCCAGATACCAGGCTAGACGGCGCCGCTGCCGACCCTTCATGTTTACCCAGGCGTACATCTTGACGTCAGTCCACTTGTCTCACGCCTTCGCCGTCGGACCCAGCGATGGGTTACCCGTCCTCGTCTCGATGGATGTTTGAATTCGGGAATCCCGTTGATCATGCCATACCATTGCAGGTAGCTTGCATGTATCAAGATGTCCACCCTTTAGACGTGGTCTGGACCCGTCTGCCTGTGAAGCTGCGAAGCTAAGAAGCTCCATCCGTGTCTTGCATCTCCTTACTTGCGAAGAGGCAACCCGTTGTGGTGGGGGGTCAGAAGCTTCCATGCTTCCGTGTGCTACTTACTGTACGGCTCGTTTCTTTGTCCGGTTGTCTGGAGAGCTCGAGGAGACAATGGGGAACTCAGCGTGCCAAAAATGCTGCGGTTGTGATTTGGTGGCAGAGTGTTGAGAGCATTGCGCCATGAAACCCCTGGGATGTCGTCATGTTAAAGGTGGGCGGGCTGGACCCTCTTATAGGCCGAGGCCAAGCCCGCTAGCCTCCTTCTGACGCTGAGGCTTCTGGATTGTAGCAGCCTTCCACTCACAGTGCAGCCAAGACACAGCTTGCTGCGGCGGGTGAGGGGAAACTCTGGGAACGACAACTCCCAACGACCCCCAAGAACAAAGACCAGCAACCGCAAGCGAGACACCCTGCAACGCAACCACGAAGCATGAAATACCTACCTCGATGTGCATACAAAAGAGAGACATACCGCAAAGACTCGTGCTATTGGGTTTTAGGTTCCCTGGAAATCAGGCATAATTATACATACATATGCCCGATTCTGCACATTTTATGCCCACCAAAATAAGTGGGGGAGTCGTATTACTACCCCGGAGCACTATAAATTAGATTCTCTAGTGCCCTGTCTTTTTGCCCTTATTTTTTCTTTCCTCCCTGTAACCTTCCCTACATAACTAGATCCTAGTAATCTAGCTATAGTAGTTACAACTAAATAGAAATTAATCTTGGGCGAGATCTATCTCATCTATAAGTAAATAAACCCATAGTATTGAAGCTCTCGCTCTAATTCGCTTTTCCTATTTATAGACATTATAAACGATTATCCTAATGCCTAATAATTTATTCAGGGCGCTAACTACATTATCGTACTACGAAAGCCCTCGTCTTTTAATATACTAGAAGGTCTTGCCCTTATGGATATAGCCTATAAACGAACCTACTATAATTAGGTTCGTAATAGAAGCTGTAAAAAGATTAAGTTCGAAGTTAGACTTAAGGATATTAGTAGTATTTATTGTTATGTAATTGAATTGGGTAAGTATTAGTGTAAATGGGATAACCGGCTTAAGGTAGAGCGTTAGTAGTAAGAAGGTAGAGGGATTGCTTATATATATATGGATATTATTAAGAGTATTAGTAGTAGTAAATCTATTAATTCTAATAAGAATAATAGATTTTGATTTATTTATTAATAATAATTATTAGTTGCTAGGGTAACTAAATTGCTAATTACTAGTATTATTTATTATATTCTTTTAACCTTTTAATAAGGTTTAGTTTATTCCCTAATATTAGTAAGCGATATTATAAATACTAATCTTTAAGCTTATCCTTTTTGAATTAGTAATAACCTCCAAATTTTATAACTTCCTTTATTTATAGTTCAAAGGCAATACCATTATCCTCAATTAAAAGGATAGCTTTAAAATCGTTAATACCAACGGTAATATTAATAACTATTTCCTAATTTCTCTAATTAATAGTTGCTTGGTCGATCTTTTTAATATTAATGAGGTAATTCTCTAATCTATTTGGAAGGATAGATATACTATTATTCTTAAAAGACTTTACTACTATAGCTTTTTTATTAGTAATTAGAGTATTCTAGCACTTTAATACTACGTAAGTGTAAGGGAT